AAAAAACTTTGGAGCATTTGATTACGTAGTTGAACTGCTTCAGTATAATACCTCTCCGGTCGCTCGATTTCTTGGAAATCGGTGTCTGAATCTTCCTCATTAGTTACGTGATCAAGATACTCATCATGGATATTGTAGTGAATGCGTAAATTGTGTAGTGCCGCAGCTACATTGATTATTTTCACAGCCTTTTCAGGAGAATAATGAAGTTGGCGCGCAGACAGAAGACATCTACACCAGTTTTTTCCAAACACCAATAGTTCTCTCTATAATGTTTCGCCCAGAACTATGCCATTTGTTAAAGCGACTTGAAGGAGTATTAGGTGCAGGGTTCCGAAAAGGAGTTATAAGCCAGGGTGCGAGACCGTACCCTGCGTCACCTAAGAATTAAATAAAAAATTATTATATGTAAAGAATATGAAGTTGAATAGTAAATTATATAATTTATAGTTATACCTAATAGTCGCAGATTTCGATTACCACCTTCATATTGTGCTTGGAAGTATTGTGATACGTCGCTGTTAGACCAAACAAATGAATCGTGAGCTGACCCTGGGTATTTCGCGTTAACGTACCTTATGCGCTGTTTATGATCACATATCTAAACCATGAAAAAAAAAATATATAAAACTATTGCAAAAAAAATGTACAAACTTACAACAAGCACATTGAGACTATAGAAGCCTTTTCTATTATAAAAAAGGTGAGAGTTTGAGCCTGTAGGTTTTGCTATCCTTATGTGCGTACCATCAATGCACATTACAATCCCGGGAATTTTCGATTTGTTGTAAAAGTAACTCCGAGACTCCATTTGCTCCTCGTCATTCATTTTTAAATTCAACCACTTATCACACAACTCGTTTTCCAGAATATCAATAACCTCTGAAAATATCTTAGAAACTGTTGGTTGAGCCATACCAAGCATGTAGTCTTTGCCAACAGCATTTTGGTAGCTTCCTTCTGCTAAGATTCGCAGACATAAAGATAGCTTTTGTTGCCGACTAATTGCTGTGGATTTTATCACGGGAGGAATTTTACCGCAAATTATGCTTGAAATATGTTTATATGCATTTTTATTTACTCGAAATTGTTTAATAAACCTGTTGGAGACAAAAGTGTATATTCGCATGTGTGATCAAACTTTTATACTTATTTTGCTTACTCTATGTCTGTCAGTTTAAAAATGTTAGGTGCTCTATCCCTCACGGACCTTCTTACACTTGCGGAACTACTTTCATCTTCATCATTGTTAAAATAAAAAGCAATCGAATCCATTTTAACACAAATTTAATTTTTTCCAAACACAAATTAATTAAAAATGACAATTCGAGAAATGTCAAAAAGCGTTTGACACAATCCGCTGCGTGAGTCGATAAAGCAGCCATCCGACGTTTATGGGAATACCGCAAACTTCAACATGCGAGGGGAATGCGAATCGAATGCCATTCGCGGGAGTGGCATTCGTCGGATACCGTAATAGTCATGTGTATGACATACGCCATATAAGTCAAAGTAAAAAGCTTTGGGAAAACTCACAAGAATTCAACAAATTAAAAAAAAATCATCAAAATTTTCTACTTTTAGCTCATAATTTTTAGAAGCCAATTTAATTTTCTTATTATTTAATGTTACCTAATGAAAATATAATGGCATATATAATAAAGAATAAATAATTCATTATTTAATATGCATATATAAGCTCGGCCAAACACTAACATATCTGTAAGCGCCAATATATTATTATTATTATATATGTGAATATAAGTAAAATAAACAAGTAAGAAAGCCTAAGTTCGGGCAGAGCCGAACATTAAATACCCGGCGCACGTATTAAATATATGTTTTTCGCCTTAACGAAAGCTACGGCTACATGGTAAGCCGGGGCGTATCAATTTTGAGTAAATTAGAGTCCTTAAATTTCGATTTTGAAGTTTCAAGCAGTTCTGAAATTTACCGTTATATGAGAAGCGGCCGTTATTTTAGTCCGATTTCAATAATTTTCAACGTTTTGCTTATATGTGGCAAGCACAATAACCACACCGAGTTTGGTACAAATTGGTAGAACGGTTACTGAGATACATATATGTGATCATAAGTGGGCGGTGCCACGCCCATTTTCAAAAAATTTATCACAAACGTATTTCTTGGTAAAGAATTGTTGCAAGCATCAATTTTGAATAAATTAGCTTCAATATTTAATGATTTATCGAAGATTTTGTATTTCTCTAAATAACCGTTATATGGGATGTGGGCGTGGTTATCGTCCGATTTTAAAAATTTTCGGCGATTTTGTATGCTGTACCAAGGCCGATAACTGTGCCAAGTTTGGTAGAAATTGGTACAGCGGTTACCAAGATATACACATGTAACCATAAGTGGGCGTGGCTACGCCCATTTTCCAAAAATGTATAATATTCTTATTTTTTGTCAAAAAATTATTGTAAATACCAATTTTGAGTGATTTATCTTCAGTAGTTACTAAAATATCGCAGTTTTCGTATTTCTGGAAATTACCGTTATATGGGAAGTGGGCGTGGTTACAGTCCGATTTCGCCCATTTTCAATAGCAACCTACCTTGGATTAAGGGAAACCTACATACCAAATTTCGTTGAGATATCTCAATTTTTACTCGAGTTATCGTGTACACGGACAGACGGACAGACGGACAGACGGACAGACGGACAGACGGACGGACAGACAGACATGGCTTAATCGATTTCTTTTTTCATCCTGATCATTTATGTATACATTTGTCTATATCTATCTCGATTCGTTTTGGCTGTTACAAACAACCGTTATGTGAACAAAATTAATATACCCTTGTGCACAAGTGCGCTCGGGTATAAAAAAAAAATGCCAACCTGGAGCAAAAAGTTCATTTAAAATTTCGAACTAGTTCGTTCGATCAATTCAATGACATACTGCATTGAATTAATTAGTTCGTGAACTTCCCAACTGTACTGACTAGGCCAGGGGTCCCAAACTTTATTCACCGCGGCACTCTTGTTGTGCTAAAAAAATGCCTACCAAAACAAGAAAACACAATACAAACTTTATGCTCCTTTAGCTTTAATGTGAGGACTCAAATTGTTTTGATGATTTTATTATTTCCTTTAAGTTTATTGGGAGTTTTGACAATTTTACCCTGAAAACAATTGACGCTGACTTCACAAAAAGGAGAAGGTTATCAATTCGTCGGAATATTTTTGTATTAATATTTTTTTTTTGCGTATGTTGCCGCATAACTCTGGACCACGTTAACCGATTACTATAATTCTTTTTTGAGAGGAAAGGTGTTACCTCACAGGCGGTCCTATTCTAATTTGGTTTAAATCCGATCATTGGATCATGAAGAGATAACCGATAATCTTAAATTTGTATATGAGAAATGAAGTCGGTTTTGTTGTTTGCTTAAAAATTATTTGTTTATGTAAGCATTTGTTGATAATGCAGTCTCATATAGAAATGTAAAAGTAAAAGTCACTAGTATTTTTAATGCAATCTTGCCAACAGCAGTGTTTTCTGCATACACTTGCATCCAGAACTCTCTTGGCTCATCCCAGTAGGTTTAATTTTCTGGTCACATGAAAATGGGTTTATTATACAGCTGAAGACATACTCAGAATCAATATTGGGAAAATATTCGACAGTGGTTTTTTCTAAACCTTCCAAGTTAACGCTGGTAATGCTGGAATTTTATATGGAAAGTGACAGAAAATCAAAAATCATTTTCCATTTAAATTGCTGGTGAAACCAGCTGTTATCAATTTTTTTGGCGTTAACTTAGAAGCTACATACGTTTTTCTGCTTAACTTTGTTTACTTATGGGGTTTTCATGCAAATTGCTAGAAATTCTAAAATATACATGACACCAATTAAAAAAATCTCGACGTGCTAGAAAAAACCAAAGCAGTACTTTAATTTCGCAGGCCTCTGTTATCTTCGCAGCGTCATCCAATACGGGTTTTAAATCTAGTGGCGGCATCTTCCTAGTCGCCAAGGAATACTGACGGATCATACAGGGACTTCTCGTGGCGTTTTCTGCCTCTGGCTTCATCCTAGACATCGTCCTTTCGTTGCGATTGTGACTAAAATATAAAATTTAAATAAAGTACTCTGCACTCTAGGTAAATGATTTAATGATGCAAAATTAAATAGTCACAATTCCCCCAAAAGGCAGCATTCCCCGATTACCCGCAATGGGACGAATTTCTCCCAAATCGGGGAATTCCCCGCAAGGTGGCATCGCTGCTCTTTAGTTATACAGCTATCAGCAACTTTGCAGATACAAAGAGATATATGCGACAGATACGAGCATATTTATTTTTCTGCTGATACTTTTGAATTTAAATCAGATACAAATCAGTGGAGCTCATTATTTTGTTGCACAACACTGCCCACATTTGCAACTCAATTTCATCTGACTTTTCTGCTGCGCGTAAATACATACATACATAAATATATCTGTTCATTTGTTAATATGTAACAACCATGTGCGTTGCCAGCATCGAATTTAGGGGGGTGATTGACATATCGAAAAATTCCTCGAAAATTGTATTTCAAAATTTTAATGAAACTATGAATAACACTGTGCCAAAAAAACAAAAAAATTTCAGAACACACGAACGAATCTATATACTCACGAAACTATAGGCCAAATATAGAAAAACTGCGTTTTCAGTTTTTCACTCTGACGTCAGGAGGTTGTTTCAAAGGACTTTGAAATTTTAAAAATATGATTAATAAAAAAAATGATTAAAGAAAATCAGTGCAATGTAGAATAACAATATGGGTACCAAATGAAACAGAAAATTCAGTTAAATTTAAAAACAATAAAATTTAAAGTCAGTAAAGTTTGCGGGGCAAAATTCAATGATGTGCTCGTATGTCCTCAAACAATAATTTTTTCAAAACTAAATATTGCAAATTTTCAAGGATTCTTAAGGACAAAATTTTTAAAGGACATTTTCTATACCCATTCGTCCATATGATCCAAAAAACTTATTCTGTTATAATTCTTATATTTGATACCCTTATCTTTATACTACATTGCACTGAATTAAAAAAAAAGTTTTGAAATACATATCTGCATATTCATATTTTTTAATTTTAAAGTCCTTTTAAAAAAATCCCGACGACAGAGAGAAAAACTAAGTACGTGACTCAAACAAACGAAGTGCAAGTTTCAAATGGCTAGAAAATCCTGTTGATTTCTGAGAATATTTTTTTTGTTGAATTTTTGCACTTTTTCTTTTTCTTATGAAACCAAATGCGGGAGACCGTTAGCAACAAAATTTCAAAAAATCAACGCCAGTTTTTGTAGATTACACGTGATATATGTATATAAAAAAAACTGCAAAAGTAGTCTCCAAAAAAACAATTATCAAAAATCAGCTCGATTTTTTAGCTGGATGAAACTTGCACTTGTCTCCCCTTGTCCCTAGATAGCGACGCCCATGGTAACAACGTACATATTTTATTTAAATTTATTTTCTCTTGTGCACCTACATAATGTTGTATTAAGTACATACATATGTACACCTGAGGTCAACTAATTAGCAGCGAAATTCAAAATGATTTTGTTTGCAACTTATGTTTATTTATTTATTTTTAATCATTTTTATTTGAAATATAATTCAATCTATAACAGAAACCACATAAATAGCTTCGAAGTTTGCACAAATTTCAAAAAAATTAATGAAACTTCAAAAAATTGTCATCAAAATTGCAAAATGCTTAATTCGACTGTTTAGAAAAGTTTTGTATGCCATTCAATTTTAGTCCAATAAAGCGCAAGTATCAAGTCGCCAAAAATTGCCATTGATTTTTTAGGCTTTTTTGTGGAGGGTGCTGCGCATTTTGTTCTATACTAATCAAAATCTATTTTTATATGAAAGAAAAATCCGCACCCCTCCACATAAAAAATTCTAGAAAATCAACGGTAAGTTTTAGCCACATGAAACTTGCACTTTATTGGACTAAAATTGAATGGTCTACAAAGCTGAATACCCGAAAATTTTCTAAATATTCTGATTAAATGTTTTTTTAATTTTGACAACAATTTTTCGAAGTTGGATTATTTATTTTTTTTAAATTTTTGAAAAGTTGCAAGAAATATCATTTTGAATTTCGGTACTAATTAGTTGACCACAGGTGTATGTATGTACATACATATGTATATACAAAGCTACCTACACGTTGGCATATATAAATGCATACCTACATACATACTTGGGCACGTATTTCCGCAGCTCCAACCACTTTGCTGCTTTGTTGGTCATACGAATACCTGCATATCTTTCATCTGACAAGCTGCGATCTTAATTCATACGCGCAAATGCTTTGCAGTGGCCTGTTGGCGGTTGGTATTTCGAAAACCACTGGCGGTTCTCAGCTTCCACCACATATCGCCTTCGACGCTGATCAGCATAAATTGAAATTTATTAATAACAAATAGAATTTAGGTATGTGT